TTTCAAGATTTTTTTGAAGAAAGCTTTCATGTTAAGTTAGGCTCAAACAAAAAAAGCTGTGTTGTAAGATAGGCAGAAATGCAAATTTCTTGGAAGAAGAAATTTAGAATAGAATTTTAGGGCTGAGAGCTCTATCCTTAGAGATATAGCCTTGAAAAATATTTGGGTGATGTGATAGTTGATCAAGTCAACATGAATTATTGCAGTGGGATTTTTCTGACAGGACTGAAGGGGCTGACAGAATTATTGAATATACAAACAGAAGTGACAGGTAGGGTTGGGGGGTTGGTGAGATCTTGGATATGTCTGTTCCTGAAATATTTAGAAAAACAGACCTATATGCTGAGAGACTTCTGGAGTTGATTTTCTTCACCTTGTGAAAGAGAAAGGCATGATGAGCATATATCTACATAAGAACCTAAACTTTGATAGCAGGGGGTTCCTTTAAACTGGTCGAGAGACCAGTTAAACAGTTTGGATATGGTCTAAAAGTCAAAGATAAGTAGGCTCAGACTACTAACAGCAGCACATATGGAAAGATTATGGTGCAGTGTTCTTCAGTGAAATGTTTTAAAATCTAAACATAATGCTCTTCTAAAACAGGATATGACCACTGTAGTAGATTGATTCAGTTATTCAGTCCTATAGCATATGTTGTGCTACTCAGGCACATTGATCCTATCACCTCTCCTGTTTCATAAAATCATGAACCTGTGGTTCTATCCAAACTGTTCCTTTAATGACATCTAGATAATATGCATTTAGCCGCTGTTCAAAACTTACATACAGCATGTTGCTGACCTAATATGATAAATGAATGTTCTGGCTACTGCCTTTAAGGTGAGATCACTTGTTTTTTGTCTAAAGGGGCTGGAAGCATTTTCTTAGGAGTTAAGCTACAACAAATTATTGCACTGATTTTTAGTTAAACTTCTTTCTCGTCCTCGGTATTGATAGCCTCTAAAGGATACAACTAGATCTTTCAGCTGTGAAGAAGGTGCAAAGGAGAACTACTCAGTACAAATGCAAAAATTCATGCTTGACTTCACTACTGTAGATAAAAACTGTTTAATCAGATTGTGTTTTAGAGCTCTAGCTGGCAGCCTCATCATCCTGGTTATGAAGTTATGCTATAACAGTGTGTCAGTCAGTAGCATTCATAATTAAGTATCCATATCTTGAAACATAGTCTTTGGTTTTCCTGCCCTAATAAATTGAAATAAATGAAAAATCTATTTCATCTTTAATTATGGGCTATTTTGCAAGTAATGATTTATAGCTTGATAGAATAGTGATAAAATCTGACACTTAATTTTGTTACACTTAAGATAGTCCAAGAAAATCCAGACTTTTCTGTTATTTTTCCCATGTGTGAAAACTAATATTGGACAGTTTATTAATTACATATAGTTATGCATAGATGAACAGATCCTGTTCATTTGAAATAAATCAATATCAATCATTTGACTGGTTCAACTTTGCCTCATTTGATTGTTTTTTAGAGCTGTCTTACCGTATGTTGCCCACATGTGTTCTGCATGTTCTCATGTTTCTTCCTGGCAGTAGCAGTATGAGAATGAAGGTCATTGTAGTCAAAATACTCACCTGAGTCTTTGGAGATCTGTATTTCTGGCTGTGCTCTAGCAATTCTTTGTAACCTAAAGCAAGGCAGTTAATTTATGGGTTTTATGTAGTCATATAAAAGGGTGTCTTTATTATTTGGGGGTATTACCTTGGCACAGTAGAATATACAGTTGTCCTCTGGGTAACAAGAAATAAGATCCTGACTGGGGAAAAATATTTAGGCGTTTGCTCAGCACACTGTGTGTACTTACCTGTGTGCTTGAAGCTGTGCATAAATTTAAGAGGTGCCTTAATGGGATTGTTTTCCTGAATTGAAGCCCAAGTTAAAGCCTGATGGCTATTCCTACACTTGCAAGTGAAGTAGCCCAGTAAGAGCAGGACTGCAGAGAAAGATAGCTGGTGTTAAGAACCAGGTTGCATGCTGTGTGGTGGTGGTGGGGTTGCACTGTATCAGCTCACATCTGATGCTTTGCACTAAATCACTTTGAGGGAAGTCATTCCTTGGTATTTATGGCATCCTGCACACCACCACTACCCTCAGTACAGGAGGGTGTTGACAAACTGAAGTGAGACTATCTGAGGTCACCGAGAGGATGGTTCTGTGAGGAGAGGCTGGAGGAGCTGGGCTTGTTCAGTCTAGAGCAGAGATGGCTTTGGGGTGACCTGACAGCACCCCCCAATGCCTGTGGAGAGGTCATGAGAATACACAGATGGAGCAGGTCTGTTCATAGCAGTGCAGAACAAGAGGGCAAGAGGCAATGACTGTAAGTGAAAATGAGATTCAGCATGGATGTAAGGGGAACTTTTTCTGTGTGAGGACAGTCAGGTTGTGGCACAGGCTGACCAGAGGTGATATGCAGGCTCCATCCTTGGGATTTTGATGTGGCTGGATGAGAGACCCTGTGCAGCCTGACCTCACCTCAGAGCTGACCCTGCTGTGAGCAGGAGGCTGGACCAGAGACCCCCTGATGTTCTTCCTAGTCAGAATGATCCTGTGACCCTGTGAATGCCCAGCGTTGTTTGGAGTATATTAGTGCGAAACAGCAGAAGCAGGCCTGATTAGGACATTCTGAAATACACTCCTAACTCCAACTCAGTGCCAACATACAGGCACCCTCTGCAAAATCTGCTTTTCTTTTTCATTGACAAGGAACGAAATCCTCTCTTTCCCTCTTTGGGGGAAAAAAAAAAGAGAAAAAAGATCTTGACAGCATCTCCTGCTGATTGCCTTCCTGTCTTGTTTTTCTCTTGTGCTCCTGATTTCAGTTTCTGCACCTATTAACTTTAGAATCTTTTCATGTCTTTACTATTCTTTAGAGACTAAAGTATATTATGCTGTCTGGCATACTTTCCTGTGTCCTTATGTCAATCTTCTGCTTTCATAGCTGTCTTCTCACTACTGTGTTATAAATCCCTTGAGCAGGAACTTTGACTACTGCTATATTTGCTTAAGCATGTAGCTGTGGTTAAGACATGACTTTTTGTACACCATAGAATTTTCTATTCAAAATTTTCTGGACTGTCCAAGTCAAAAGCTGGTTTATCCTGCTTTGTAACAGCTGCTGTGTTAATTTCTAGCTCTGTTCTCCTTCAGTTTTTCAGTGGTTATGGTTTTAGCAGAAAAATGAGAAAACCCTGATAGTGACCCCAAAAAGTGGAGAATGTGCAACTAAAACATTTTAAGTGGAAAACTTAAGTAAAAAATTAGAAAAGCATGAGTAAAAATGATCAGAAATTAATCCAAATTTGACTTGGAAGAGCAGGAATCATAAAATGGATGACCATCTTATGACCATGATGCATGTTTGAGAAACTTCCTGTGGACCAGACAGTACTTGCCCCATATGATGCCCTTGTGGCCTTAAATGTAATTATTATTTTTTATTGCTTTTTCATACTTCAGCAAATCTGAAGTAATAAGATAGCTGTGTTTGTATCTGTCTACAGTGGCAGGGTTTTTGTTTTGTTTCATAGCATGCATTAAAGACCCTGCCAGGTAACTGTGAGTGTATTGAGATATTTGTACCAGGTAGCTTTGCACCAGCATTGGGGGACTGTTTGTTTTGATTTGGAGAGAAGAGGTTGACTTACTTAGAAAGGGACTTTGAAAATAAGCTAACACTTATGTAGTTTGAGCAACTGGGAGAATAGAAAATGGCATGTACCCAATAAATGTCTCAAAACCCCCTGAATTTTGGACAGCAATTTAGAAAATCTTGGTGGCTGTTCTCCTTTTCCCAGGTCTGCACTCAGGCACTGCTTTTCCAAACAGCTTCATGGGGTACCTACCAATGTGTTTTGGCAGCATCACTGTGATGAAATGGCACTAGGACTGCTGAAGTTGTAGCTTTCTTATTACTCCCATGAATGAGCTGAAATGTGACTGGTCTTCAGCCTTCTCTGTGCTGAGATGTTGCCCCTGGACTGATATTAATGTGTTCTATTATATGGACTCGACTCTAAATGTGCTGATGCTAGGAATGGCTTATATTGCTCAAAGAAACTTAGTTGTATTCCAGAAACATTTTTGTCCTAGCATCAAAAAGTTTCAATACCCATGTCATCAGCATCACTAAGACAAAAAAAAAAAAGAGGGAGCAATGTGCTTTTCCAGAAGACATGTGCTCTCCTCTGAATCTCTGTGCTTTTCTTGTGAAATAAACAATTTAAAGGATGTTCAACTGGAAGGACCTGACAGTCTAAATTAGAGATAATACTTCAGTTACTTTAAAGATAAACAAAAGAAGCCGCAAGAAATGTAATTTGAATTAAATATCTTAGCCGCTTCTGTATGTCACAGATCTGGCAGGCAGCTTTGAATGAGTTTTATCATTGTGTTTAGCTCATTTTCCCATAGCAGAATCTCTTTGGTGGAGGGAACTTTGGTATGGTTTCTGAATCGATGCAATTACTAAGCAAATGCTTTTGTAGAGTGTTTGTTAGTAATGGAGGTGTTTTAGCTTTTACTCCTCAGTTGCTTTAGCCATTCTGAAGTTAGAAATTTTTTTTGTTTTCTTTGTTACATGGATTTGATTTCATATTATGCCACTGAGAAGTAAGAAAAGTTGACTCTTGTGGTGCCAGTTTAACTACCTTATTTTACAGACAAATACTAACTTTATTAAATTAACTTATCTGCATTATTCCTTTCAGAGTAACAAGTCTTGGTAAAGATAAAATATGAGTTTGAGTCATTCTTGTTGTTTAATTATTTCCTTTGAGAGCAAGAAGAATGAATAATATCTCAATCAGATCTTTTATTTATTGTTTTTCATCAGTAACATGTAGGTGAATACCACCAGTTTAACATGTAGGCATTAAAAATATCTAGATGGCTCAACTTTAATCTTAAAAGATTAAAAGAAAAAAAACAACACAGGAGTTTGCTTTAAAACTGTGCACCTTGTTTGTTTTAGGAGAAGAGGCTAAAAGAAAAAGCAGCAAGGAGAGAAGCCAGGAATAAGAACACACAGGTAAGGATTTTTGTTGTTTTGATCAAGCTACTGGTTGTGGGTTTGAAATGATTTTTAAATTATTTAATTCCTTTCTGTAATAAGCAGTGTTGTGATTAAGGACTCTTTAAAGTCATTGCTCGTCTTTTTTTACCCCCTTGCTCTGATGTGGTTGCAATAACTTGCTGTGGAGGGATACTAAGAAAGCATGGATGTGTATGTTTTGTATGGAAACCTTTTGGAATTTTAGCCTCTTTATTCTGTGTATCGGGTGAGTTGCAATTTCAGCTGTAGTGCTGATGCCATTATTTTCTCTGAATATTTGGGTCATGTTTATAACTTGCAGGCAGTGACATTATTTTTATTGTGTGTCAAATCTTTCTTAAACCTTTTTCTGCTGAACCTATATTTAAACAGCAAATATTTACATTGAAGTTTGTTCCTTCCTTTTGTTACCACAAATAAAACCTTTTCTATCCTTTTCTTCATACGTGTGCTGCTAAATTGCTAGAGGCTGTTCTAGTATTTCATATTGCTTGGTTTGCAATAAACTGAGATTTCGTTCAGCTGCAGTGATTTTCTGGAATGTGGGCAGAGTGACGTGTAATTTCTCACATGCATCTCCTCTTACTACACATGAATACTTACAGTTTGTTCTTGGCAGTTACCAAATATCTTACTCCCTTGAGAAAATCGATAGTGTTCTTTGTCCGATTTTTGCACGCTGGCTGTGCTCTGGGATGCTTAAGTATAGGAAGATGTTTCATTGTGTAGCTCTGAGGCAGAAAGTAATTACAGTTTAAGATGAAACACCTAGTTATACTAAGTTCGAAGTATGATTCTGTCTTCAAAGATGGCAAGCTATGAGTGCTGTTGGCATCATGACTCCCCAGTCAAGCAATAGAAATTTTCTGCCTGTAATTGAATATATAGAGATACATACTTTTTAATGCATTGAGCAAGCATTTTAGGAAAATTATGGAATGAATAATTAACAAACATCTTAATAAAGGGAGAAAACATTGATCAAATCAGGCTGTGTCACATTCGTAAATGCTGCTTGTTAATTTTGCCTCTTTTTAAGGAATAAAAAAACCCCAATGTCATGTTATTCAGCAGCTGGAAAAAGAAACACATTTCTTTCAAAAGGATCTGCTTGCTGATGTACATCTCCTATCCTGTTCTTGGCCAAGCAAATTAATCTCTCTGTCCTATCAGAAGGTGAATGAAGTTGATCCCTATTAAGGAATGGTCTGTCTTTGTGGGGGACTGTGTGTCCATGGGTACAGTATGAGTTAAATGTGGAACCTCAGCCCCAAAGGTACATAAGATAAACCCACAATTTTATGCACCTTTGCATCTCTTCTGTGCAATACTTGCACTTGAAAAGCTGATTTACGAGTCCTGGTCTACTATGAGATTGGCATATGCTTTCTGTGAGGGTACCAGCTGTGCAAACCTGCTATTGCTTTGACTTCATTTTACTGTTGAAGTGCTTAGCTCACTCTCTGCAAGAAGGTGCAAGCCTCAGGACCTGACACATCTCCTTGATTAAAAACTGTTGGGCTTTTTCTCTTGTTTAGAAGCTATTTTTGCCAGAATTGTGTGCTGCCGAGTCTTGCCATTTTCAGTGGGGCTCATTTCAGGGAAAATGCTTCTGCAGGGAAAAGCTGCCAGCTCGGACCCAGGGCCTTTCACGCCTGGAAGTGGAAGGGAGCAGTAGACAGTAGATAAAGGTGCTAGTTTCTGTCTGCTGGGTGTCTGAGGAATTAATTAAGAACACTCCCTGCTTCACAGAATCTTAGAGATGAAGCCATAGTAGCTGAAACTCTCTATAGTCTGTGTGTGATATGACTCAAGCAACTCCTATGAGATGCTCAGGGAAGAAAAAAAAAAGAAGGAAACAGTAAAACACAGGAACGAACTATTGGAGCTGAAACTAGCTTAGAAAATATATGCTCCCGAAATCAGGAGTTCAAAATTGTTAAGATTTTCACTAGTTCTTTCATAATATGGCTTGTGACCCACTTACTCTGCCATACACAACTCCTTTGGCAATAAGGAGAACCAAAAAAAGCAGAAAAGGTATTTTTAGCCCTATTAATGCAGTTCAGCAGCTGGAAAAAAAGGCTGGATCAACAATTATGTGCAGCCCATCACTTCAAAGCAGCTGTGGTCATAACTTATTGTTCCACATCTATCTGTTTTATTCCCCTTGTTCATTTTATTAACTGTCTGTCTCTGGTTACAAACTCTTTGGGGTTACAAAGTATTACTTACTATCTTTCACTAGTACACAGACCACTGGGTCTGACATGACCAAACTAGCAATTTATTTTTCGATTCTTAATATTCAATAATAATTCTTTAGTTACAACTTCTGCATCTCTGCTTTAGTATAGTCCTTGTTGTCCTGTTTTTGGTTGTGCCCTGTCGCTGACTGGACAGGCCTGGTACGTTATTCTGAGTGTATGCTGTTTTTTTTTCCAAAATGAAAAGGGAATTTATTTGAAACTAAAATTTTATGGTTTACAGTTTGTTTATTTTCACCATTTAAACCATACATTTGTGGGATTTAATCTTAGTCTTAATTTAATCTTAGATTCTTGGATTGTGATACTTTTAGTTTTAGGATTTCTCTGTGCTGTACACGTTAATGTATTTCCTGTGCCAGGAATGTTGACTTCTTGACATTTTTCATTTACTCTTCCTGTAATTCTTTAATTTATGAGCTGTGTACCAACAAAAAAGAAAAAAATCATAGGGGAAAGGGACCTTCTGCATTTTCTTCTGGTGCTGCAGGAGTATTTGCGGAGAAGGTTTTGCTCAACCTTTGCTGTGCTGGGACGGGGCAGGCTTGCTGCAACTGGAATTGAATAACCAAATTGTGGCATGCTCTGCTGAATGTGCTTGAGCTGGAGATTAGATGAGTAGGTAGCTGCAGTGTTATTGACTCCACCTTGGATAAATCTCCATGCAATAAATAAACTGGGTAAGAAGTGAAGGCTCTTAAAGGATGCTTTGGAGAAAGTATTTCTTGGAATTTATGACCATTAATTACATTTTAGTGCAAAAGGCTGTGAAAACAAATAAAAGAAGTTTTTTCTTAGTAATTCCTATTGAAGAAAAACTGGAAATATAGGGTGGTTGGGATTTTTTTTATTCTAAGATATTTAATTGTCTCCCATTTTAGGAGAATTTGATGAGATACTTATAATTGCAGTATTTTAAGATGAAATAAGAACATATTTTGTCTTCACTCAGTAGTAATAAAATTTCAGTCCTCAGGCCCTCAAACAAATTTTGATGCTGTTTACTTGAAAATTAGGCAACTGTGTTGTCTTTTGGCGAAGAAATAAAGCATTGAGCAGAAGCAGCAGCAACGTGGACAGCTGCTCTGAGGAAGGAGCTGGGTGTTACTCGGTGAAGCCAGCCCCTGGCCCCAGGCAGGACATTCCTGCATCGTGCAGTGCTGTGCTCCTGGCTTTGCCTTTCTTCTTCTATAATCTATGACGTACTAGTTTCTTAGTCTACATAAAGGACTTCTAGGTTTCAACCAGCATTTAAAGGTCTTTGTCCTGCAAGCAGCTGTTGGCTGGAATGAAGCTGAACAGGGCTGTATTTCTCCTTTGGTGAGTTTAGTGTTTTGGTATCCTGATGCCCTAGAGCACTACTGGTATGTTAAGAAGTATGAAGTAAGGAAGGTTTTGGTTTCTTTTGAAGATAAATGTTTCTGTAGGAAAGGAATTTTCCAGGAGCAGCTATACAGTGTTCAAGGTAGGGAAGCAGAGTAGGAGTCAGGAGAAGATGCTGTTCCCTGCCCCAGCACTGACATGCTTTGTAATCCTCAACTATCAGCTCCCAGCATCATGCAAGAAATGATAACTAGCCTCTAAAAGAAGGCATTGGTATCTGCTAGAAATAGTTTGTATGCCATCTGTAAACAGTGCCTGGAGGTAAAACTTGCCCAGTCATGACAGTTTGGTGCATTGATTCAGGCACTGGCAATCCTGTAGCAGTTATACTACACTGCTGTCCAAAGCAAAACAGAAAAACCTGAAAAGGGGCTGACTAGCAGAGCAGAGACCATTTATCCAAAGTCCATAAGAAAAATGTAACCTGCTGAAAACTTAGGGAAATCCAGCTTGAACAGATATGCCTTACTGAGAGGGTTTTTTCTGTTTTCATTGGACAAAGTTGAGGATGGGGATTTTTATCAATCTGAAAAACTGACTTCTGGAAGAAATCCAAGTGCTCAGTTGTCAGGGGTACTTTTTCATGGGAAATGCTGAATAATTGTAGAGCATTAAAAGATCAACAGCAACAGCAGGATAATAAATATGCTTTAGCTTCTCTCATGTCCTCCCTTTCTCTTCTGTTCTCTCCCTAATGTATTTTTCTATTCCCACAGGAATTAGTACTTGTGTATGAGATTTTACAAAATATATAGTTTATATATACATAATTTAAGATTTTCAGAGTCATAATGAAGTTAGGAATCTTTCTACTGTTATGAAAGGATTTATGTGACCATGCCTACAAAATACACGTGGGTGAGCAGCAGGCATATACTTAAAGATATGGCAGATTCAGGCTTTGATAATCTGCCTTTATCACATCACTATAGCATTCTGTTTTCTGCACTTAGTGCCAACTCTCTGTTGAGATTGTAACCACCATTAAACCACTATTTTATTTTAATCTCTTGCATCCTCCAATGGATTTGAGATACCCATGCCAAATGTAACTCAAGAAACCTTTACACTGTGTGGGAAAATTTGAAGAAGAAAGGGACAGTCAGATACCTTGGTAGCTGTGGCTAATAATCCACTGGGAGAAATACACACTTTAAAATATGATGAAAACTCTGCATCCACTGTGTATCATTCCTGTAGTTACTGGATCTGTATTACCTGACAGCTCCCCTTCTCCCTTGAATTTCCTTTTTCTTGAGATCTAGCCCTCGGCCTGGTGTTTAGGCTGGAGATGCTAGATTCAGTGTGGATGTGAACAGTAATTTC